CTGTGCTCGTTGCCGCGGTTATTCCTAAGCAACGATCTGTTGGTATTCGATGGACGACAGAACATCCTGTATGTAGAAGTGTTTGGTTTCATCCGTTGTTACGCAACGGAACCACTTATGCTCTCATCTCCGGGGAAACGCGTTTGTTGTTTAGGCAATTCCTATGCAACGGCCCACTGTTATTGCGTTTCCATGGAAGTATACTTTCCGGTTTCATCCGTTGTTACGCAACGGAACCTCTTACCCTATGCAACTGTTTTAGCGTTACTATGGAAACGACTGCTAGATTCGGAACATGTGACATGTTTTTACCTGTTTTTACCTGTCACAGGTGTGACATCTAGGTAATAGGTACATAAACAAACGCGCGTATTCGAATGCAACGTTGTATCAAAATTTCAAAACAATAGGTGAAGAACTTTCGGAGATCTTCGATCAGAAACAAACGAACATCTACATTTTTATTTATATAGATTATAATTAGTCTATTTACAAGTATGGTTTAAAAAACTTTTGTTAAAATCTAGAACCAATTTGGTTCGTGTCCTTTATACTATTTCTCTTTAAAGGACACGAATCAAATTGGTTCTAGATTTAAACCGAAAATTTTAACTTGTAAACAGACTAAATATAATAACTAATAAATATTTCAACAAATTCATGCACATCGCAGTAATTATTAAAGGATAATATTTTATGTCTATGATATTGTAACAGTAGTGTCTATGTATTGATAATGTCCTTCTGAAGATGGTAGCTCCGACCGAAACATGTGAAGGATGCAAGGTTAAAAAAACATTTATCAGTCACACTGAAAGGCGTTAATAATATTTTATTCGTTTATACCTATACACGCAGTTGTGGACATTTCACACAGACCTGTCCCTAGCTAATTGTGATTAACCTGATGGAATTAAAAAGACTGATAGAAGGGAATATTTTCAAGGTCGCTGCGTCTTATATATTGTACTGAGTTGTCTGCTTACGTTCAAATTCACTGCTGTTATAAACACACTTTTATTAAAGTAAGTGCCACTTCTGTGAGGACGTGTTAAGTTTTATTACATACGAGATCTTCATTTTCTATCCGCATTCTTTCTTGTACACAGTACTAACACAATGGATGTGATTTAGTGGTGTTACGTTGGTTGGGTTCATTTTTGTCTGACGGAAAACTTTGAAGTCAAGCATTATTGCACATTATTTATAAGCCTTTATCAACTGCACGGTTTATATAGCGTTTATTGACGTTGATTATGAATTAAGGTCCAAGAATATCGTGAAAGGAAGAGATCTTAGGTTATTTAGATACATTAACCCATCATTCGACAGTATGGAATGACAAAGACCACGAAGAACCTCGGTATAAGCAATATTCGGACGAGCTTTGAGACAGGATTTCCCCAGACACGAAAAGATATCATGACCTTTACACCGTGATGTTCGGCTGCTAATGTGAAAGGACATCGCCCGACCATGGCACTCTTACGATGTTACATGAAGAGGGCGAGATTTCCCGGTAAATAACAGCATTGGTGAAGTGCATTATTGTTTCAACCTTCAAATTCCATTAAATAAAGTGGTCATCGAAACGTGTCAAACTACAGAAAAATCAAAACGACCTCTAAAAATATTAATATAGACCTATGACACCAAGTTTGACAGAAATCTCGCGGAAGTCAGAACAGTGACTAAGCTATGTATTGGATGACCGTTGAGTTGGAGTTCGGTTACCGGCTGGAGCAGAGATATATTCTTTACATTGTGTCCAAACTGGCTCTGCTACGAGCTGGACGGCCTGGGTTCGATTCCTGGCAAGGTTAAGAAATTTTTCTCTACTCTTCAGCGTCCAGACCTATTCTGGGGAACCCCCATCCTCCTATACAATGGGTACCTGGGGCTCTTCCCAGAGGGTAAAGCGTCCGGGGCGTTAATTTGACCATTCACTTCAATCTCCTGCCGTGTTTAAGAAAGGTGGAGCTATACCACCACTCCCTTATACATCTTCATGGTATGGTACTTAATTACTTTGGAACAAGAACAAGTTTACTTTTACTGGCTCTAGGCTCACAGATGGCGGTGAGGTTATCTACCTTACGCGCTGGCCTTGTTTTACCCCCAGGAAGATTCCTGGTACTCATTTCTATTAAGAGGCTGAGTCAGCCCTAGGGCCATAGTGCGGCTGGAAAGATTAGGTCAATTGAAAAGTCCAATGACTTAATCGGTAATCGAACCCGCAATCTTCCAGCTTGTAGCATAGTGCTTCAGCAAACTACGCTACCTCGAGCCCCCATAAAATTGGCATAGCAATTGTAAACAATCGTAAGATAGAGGAAGTACCGTGGGATGATGCTACATCAAAAAATGCAGCTGCTGTGTTGTATGATTCTTATTAAATTTCGTTGGCACTAAACTTTCCGGCGTATTACAAGACAGGAAGTGGCCAATCATAATTCCAGTGAAGTAACTGTTAATATCTGGCATGGTGCTATATTACTAATAATTAACCGTTATTGTTTCTCAACAGATCTATAGCTTGCCGTTGCTTCTTCCGGCTTGCTCCTCCCTTCCCCCTTCACCCCTTTTCCCCTACTCTTTATCTTTCTCACTCTCCTGCAGTCCAGAATCCGCCATCAAGTGACAGGCCTCTTGTTATTCACCACTCCGAAACTGCGTTTTCAATGCCAGTAGAAAGTTAAGTTGTCCCTGTCCTTAATTCAGCACCGCGCCATGAAGACGTATCGGTGAATGCACACATTATTAAGTTGGGCGCTGCAGAGAGCTGCATGGCCAGCTTCATATCCCGACCGCTTTATCTGTGGAGACAGGCGGCTGGATGGGCCTCACAGCCGGTCTAGATTCTGTGACAAATATTTTTTTGTCCTTGCCGGGAACTGAACACAGCCCATAGCATAGTCACTATACCGATTAAGTTCTCCGGGGTTCTCGTTACCAATAAAATAAAGAAGGAAAAATTATTCCTGTGCTTAACTAATTAAGCACTACACCATGAAGGCATATGGGGAGTCGATGTATAGGTCTACATTTTCCTGACCTCGACACTAGTTGGAGTGGTCAGCTTCACGCCCCGGTCGTTTTACTGATTGGATAGGAGGTTGGGTGGGTCCCAGAGCCGGTCTGGACGACATGGAGAAGTGAAAATTCTTGCCCCAAAAGGACTCGAACTCTGACTTCTCCGCCCTCCAGCCCGTAGTCAGTCGTTATACCGACTGAGCTATCCCGGCTCCCTCCTCAATACCGGTAGGTATATTTAAGATCGATACTACATCCACAAAGAGAATATATGAGGGGCAGTCAAATGAAAACGAGTCAGAAGACAAAACATATTAAAGAACATTTCTTACCTCAAAAGTAATCTCCAAAACTGTTAATACATTTATTCCACTGGGAGATGAGACGGCCAATCCCATCCTTGAAAAAGGTTGTGGGCTGTCTACGGAACCACATCTTTACCCAGCCACACACGTCTTCGTCCGATACAAACCGATGTCCACGAATGTCTCTCTTCAGGTCTCCTACATGGGCTGTAGGGGGGATGTTGAAGCACTTCCCAACCAAATCCCTGTACCGTGTTCCTCTCAGAGCTGGCAGCGTGGGGGCGCCCATTATCATGAAGAAGAATAATGCCGTTCGATAGCATTCCATGTCTCTTTGACTTTATGGCACGTCTCAGTTTCTGCAAAGTGTTTTCATAGCGCTGTGCACTGATTGTGGCCCCATGCTTGAGAAATTCGACAAGCAAAGGGCCTTTGCAGTCGAAGAAGAACGTCATCATCACTTTACCGGAACTTGTGTGTACGGCTTTGGATTTCTTGGATGGGGGAGAATTCACATGTTTCCACTGTTGGATCTGCCATTTGCTCTCGGGTTCAAAATGGTGGCACCAAATTTCGTCCCCAGTGGCAACACGGGACGGAAAAGCACACTCTTCCTCGTGGTATCGTTGCAAGTGACCCAGTGATGCAGCCATTATCTGAGTCTTCTGTTCCTCCGCGAGTTGATGTGGAACCCACTGCGCGCAGATTTTGCGGTACAGCAGGTGTTTTGTCACAATGGCATGTATGGAATCGTGACTTATTCCCATCAAAAGACTAATTTCTTGCATAGTGATCCGTCGGTTTGCCCGGATATGACCATGCAACGCAGCACTAACATCAGGAGTGATGACACGATGAGCCTGTCCTGGGCGAGCATCATCTTGCAGTGACACACGTCCCTCTCGGAATCTCTTGTGCCACGCCAGCACACGCGAACGTGACATGCTGTGTTCACCGTAAACAACATACATGCGACGATGAATTTCTCGTCCTCCTACTTCTTCAGCAGTCAAAAGGTGCACTCCATTTCGCTGTTCTTCTTTACTCGCCTCCATTACTGATGCTGGACGACCACACGTAGCGCTAACCTTACTTCCATCACAATAAACAAACGACTAGTGTGCAAGGGCACTTTGTCACTGTGCTTTCCCTAGTCCCCACCACATGTTCTTACCGTAAGCAAATTCCAGTGTTACCAACTTGCGCGCCATATGAGTTATGTGTGGTTACCCGTTTTCATTTGACTGCCCCTTATATTTTTGGGAAAATCCACTTCCAAAATCACTGGACACAATTTTGTTTTTGTGCTGTGTGATAGTAGGTCTGGAACGGGGTCCACTCAGCCTCGTGTTGATAATGAGGAGCTACTTGAATGGAAAAGTAGCGGCTCCGGTCTAGAAAACTGAAATTAACGGCCGTGGGGATTCGTTGCGCTCACCACGCGACACCCTCTATCCCCTGAAGTTGGCATTAACTTCGTCGACAAGCTGCGGTCGTTCGGTCGGTATAGTTCTCTTGCGGACTGAAGCCACAGAGTTTGTTTGTTTTTGTTTTTTGTTTGATAGTTATTTATACCTTTACGCTTTGCAGAGTATCTTGGTTTTCCTCGTTGTTGTCATTTCTGCAGTGTTTATTGACTGCTTGAGTTTTTGTTTGTTTCAGGCTAACATGACAACAAGTATAGACCGGGATAAGATCAGAGAAGCTTATGAGGACGTCCGTTCAGATAACTCCGAAACAGAATGGTGAGTTGGTTCAGTAACCTAGAACTCAATGAAACTTCTATATTGCAGATCTGGATCAGGTTGGGTTCTCCCTCTCTCTGTCCTCTTGCCTCCTCAATTAACGGTAGGTCTTCTTCTTCTTCTTCTTCTTCTTCTTCTTCTGGTCACACAGATTCCGACCACCTCTCTGGTCTAGTGGTCGGACTTTCTGCCTACAGATCCAGAGGTCCGGGTTCAATTCCCGGCGTTAAAAGATTTTTTTCAGAAGTAGTGAGTCTGGAACAGGGTCCACTCAGCCTCGTGAGGATAATTGAGGAGCTATTCTCCCACATGCATGCTACATGCGATGCCCATCTCATCCTCATTGACTTAATCATTCTAGTTAGACTTTGAGAAGAGTACAAGTTATGAAACTCCTCATTGTGCAGTTTTCTCCAACCTCCTATCACTTCATCTAAGAGAAGACTGAACTCGGGTAACGCTTATCTGTTGTCCAAAAATATAAAAAATATAATATACAAAACTCTTAATTTTTTCCTGTGGTTCTGTATGGGTGTGAAACTTTGTCTCTGACATTAAGGGAGGAACATAGACTGAGAGTGTCTGAGAGTAGGGTGCTGAGGGGAATATTTTGACTGAAGAGAAAACAAAGGCTACTCGCTGCATTTAAACGAGGTCTGCTCTAATGTTCATTGAATACGCCATTATCGTTGCATCATATAAACACTAAGGGGATCCTGAGGTCTAGAGCAAGCAGAAACACCTACCCTGTCGAAGGAAAGGAAATAAAATTTAGACCACTTAGATTTATGTGTATGCTGTTATTTTTGCCGAGAAAAAATAACACATAAATTCGCCATAAATATCATATTTCATGCCTCCAAAATAGTGTGATCAAGTGTAGTAATGCAAATGTTAAAAGCGTCGCTTGTTCTCTAAAAATATTTTCGGTGCCTTACAGTCGAAAACAACAATGCTCAGAGAGAAGCGTTACTTTCGGCTTTTAACATGTTTTCCGGTACGTGTAAATTATCGGCATGAGGACCGGTGAGTACCGGTCGAAATGTCAATCGTTAAAAGTAAAATGCACTTTCCAGTGTGACAAAGACGGAAGTTTCAAATTGAAATAACCTGCCCAATTCACGGGTAATTAGTTTATAAATTTCTCCAACTCCATGATACGAAAAGAATTGGAACGCTTGTGATTAAATTGTTAAGTTGATCTATAACTTGCTTGCCGGTCACGGTAGCCGAGCGGTCTAAGGCATGCACCGTCTTCGCTCGCTCGGAAGCCGGGATCGTGGGTTCGAATCCCACTCAGGGCATGGATGTTTGTGTGCGATTTTCTGTGTTTGTCTACAGGTAGAGGCCTTGCGACGAGCTGATCACTCGCCCAAGGAGTCCTACCGAATGTGTAAGATCTAGTAAACCGAAGTGAAACGAAGAGTTTCATGGAGGTAGGCCTAGGCAAAAATTGGGGCTGTAGCGCCACAGAAAAAAAAAACTTGCTTAGCTTTATTAAATCTGACATTCATTGCCGTATCCGCAAAATACAAGCATGCTGTCGGACATTGCATTGAGCCTGTGTAATACAGTCTACATCCGCGTAATCTAATTATCTAAGGAGAGAAATTTCCCTGTTCTTTAATCAACTAAGAACAGTATCAGGAAGATGAAGCCCCCATCTTAAAGACAAAGGATCTGATAATGTCCTGCCTGATCAGAGCTACTTCACAGTTCAGGGGATGGTGACAGATGAATAAGGAACAATGGTGGAACGACATTTGGCAGGGGAAAGTCGAAATCGCTGAAAAAAACCGCTGAACTTCTATTTCATCCACCACAAATCCCGTATGAAATTCTTCGCGGCCAAATCCGAAGCTCTACTGTAAGAATCCAGCGTCGAAACGCCTGAGCCATGGAATAATTTAATTATCTTAAAATCTAGTTTAATATTATCCTACATTTGTGCCCGCGTATTCTGAATGGCCCTTTCCATCTTTTCCAACGAGATGCTCCAACCAAAATTATTTATGTACTCCTTCATGTGTTTCATTTCCATGTCTTTCAATTTCTGAACGTATTGCAAGCTCCTCATTGTGTGATTTTCTCAATTATTCTATTAATCTTTTTTAGGCGCATGTATTTGAACTTTGTTTTAAAATGCCCCAATCTATGAGTATGTTCTTCCACAGCGGAAGAGGAAAAATTATAATTTTTTCCCTGCGGTATTTCAAGCTTCCTGCTTTTAGAGATGACAGAACGAACCGCAGGATGTAGGAATAGTTTTACTTAGTGAATGCGAAATATTGCATTGTTAACTCGTCGATATTACTCAGTAGCCGTCGGCCAGATGGTCTGTCCACGTTAGCCCAAGTTTCGGATATTGACTCCCCGAACACGCCATTTCATACTATCATTTATCGTACATGTTCAGTAAGCTTAGCGGGTCGGAGAAAATGCCTGAAGTCTGCATGAAGTGAAGCATTCTCTACGTATATTCGAGTTCGATGCATTTGGAAGTTCTAATGAATTTCCTTCCAGAACTATCTCAATTCTTCGTTCATCATGAACATCAAAAGACACGAAATTATTTCTGCAGCTGATGGAACATCTTCAGGTAATATAATCTCTATTTGGGTTTGAAGTTCTCCTGGCTCTGTAAAGAGTACTGTCTCCAATGCTATGTAGTCCATTAGAAATGAAGTGACGTTTCGAGGAAAGTTCTGCCTCCTCCTTTAGCATCAGAGGGAAACTAAAGCCAGACCGCAAAAAAATCTGGCTACAAGCGAAGCAAAACTTCTTGTTCCAGGTTAGTTTCTTCCTTGGCTTACACTTTGACTTTGAAGATAGAGATAGTAAGTTCCATCGAAAAGTCGGTGAAATTTTGTTGGACCCCTTGGCGTTAAATACCAGAAGACAGTTCTGTTCATAATATACATTAGCTATACTTTAGGCAAGTGGCCACCAAGCGATTTTCTTAAAAAAAATCGCAATTTTATTATTTTAAGCGCGTCCATATTATATTATTTAAAGGATATTCATAAAAGTAACGGTATGCTTAAAAACTGTAATCAGTTTTGTGGCCATGAAACACTATAATATTCTTAAGTACTGAACACACTTGAACCAACAAGTCCTTATACAAATTTTACATCAGTGCAAACGGCCAGTAGATCATTTCTTCATGTTTCTAATTCCACTTGTTTCGGCGAATGTTGGCCAGATAAATAGAGTAAATGGAAAGTTTAACTTTGAAGAGAACGTATCTGAAAGCTATTCATATTATCCATTTAAATTCATTAAATCACGTGTTTCATAAGAATAGGTGTGTACGGATTCCACTTTTACGGGGAAGGAATTTATGGAGTAATGAAGTTTGGAAACCAATGCCATAGACTGTACAAGTATGTCCAGACTTCCGCTGTAGTTCTTCAGTATAACACTCCCATGTTGCTTGTCTGCTGTTAGTAACGGCGACTGGACAGCGCCGACTCACCTCTCAAGCGTTCGGAGAATTTTGCCGTTATGGAACTCACTCCTGAGTAACGTGCGCTCAGCCGACACCCACACTGAGCTCCTGTATTCCATGGGTAATTACAGACGGTAACTTGCTCTCGGAACTGCGAACAGTTCATGTAACAAGTTCTGTCTGGCGAAAGACGGGGTCGGCGCACTTCCACAAGGTCGCTCGTACCAAATGGTCAAGACCCCGTTAAAAAAACTTACGTTGTATGAATATGGAGGCCCAATTTACGATAGAACCTCGATCCTGAAATGTACTACATTCTGGAAAAAGTATGGCATTTTATTTATTTATTTATTTATTCATTTTTGCGTGTTCTAAGGCAACAATTTCGGACAGAAAAATACATTGATTCTTACAGTGCATTCCCTTGCGTTCTTCATATGCTTATATCATAGATTTGAATTGCTCTCGGAATATGGGTGTTTGCCCCTGTTTTTCTTAGTTTTTTTTTTTCGGGACAGTTAGAAGATTTTGCGACAGACTGGTCTCCATGTCCATCAGTCCTAGCTCCTGCATGAATAAGAATAAGAATAAGAAAATCTTCATAGTGGCAGAGAAAGAGGCTGGCAATATACTGTAGAGTCAAGGAAAAACGAAAGCTTGGAATATACTTGGTGTGTCTGTTAGGTGCTGAGTTCTAGAGCCCTTAGATCTTCACTCAGAATGCTAAATTGCATATGACTGACATTACCATGGTATTTTCCAAGAAAGGAAAAGTATCAATTGAAAAACAGGCTGTGCAATACTGGACTGTTCGCTGTTGTGCGTTTCAATAAACGCCCACACTTCTGACAGCGTCCAATTGTGATTAACGATTTTCATGACCGTCAACCTTTGAAGGATATCATAAGAGCAGGTGCAACAGCACAGAAGAAAAAAGCGCCCTCCTGCATTCTCTCGGAAACTTTTGTGATCCTTAGCGCCAAAAGGAAGCGTTTCTGGACATGGGTGTATTAACAAAATATGATCAGATTGAACCCATCTATCTACCACAGAGCACTGTAACATATACATGTATTTCTTTGCACTCTGTATAAGTTCTGGTATATGTCACAGTTTTTTACATTTGGCACTTACCTGTACAGAGTTAAGCTCATCCAGTAAATTGATTGCCTGTGGACTGGAAAGCACAATTTTCTAGTAGAGGAATCAGGAATTCTCTTTTCATTTGTCATCAGAATGAGTATGAAGCACGCTCAGCCTCATATGCAGTGGACACTGGAAGCTGTTTCCCCAAGATAAAGCAGCCAGAATCCTCTGGGTGCTACAATCTGAGCAAGTAGTTCCCACTATCAGGCTGACCAAGTACCTACATCTAGCTGATAATGTATGGAGTTTTACTTCCATGCCCCCAGTGGCATGGTGGATAGACCTTTATGGTATGCATCATGTTGTGTGCCATTTATGAAAAGCTATAATTTTGGACAGTTGGTGATAACCAACAACAAATAAAAACAAATATTGACACGGTAGTTTTTATTTTGTTTCTTTATTGTGCAACTGTCCCAAATCATATTTTTTTGATATGGTGCAAAGAGAGACAACCCACTCCCAAGTAAAGTTTCTCACACATATGCATCACTTATATTCCAAATTTATGAGATATTCAGATGATGGCAGAAGAAAAGGCACTTAATGCACCCTATACTCAACACTGAAGAAGTTCAGACTTAAATTTAAAATATCTGTATTCTTCTGTGGTTGCCTACTGATTTCTTACTTAAACCATTGCAGTGGGTGAATTTCTTTGAGCAAAAATAACTGGTTCAGTTTTGAAACTCAGTGACATACAACGTGAGTAATTTCGGTTTTATGGAATTTACTAATAAGTGTGTAAATTTTTAAAGCAAATACATATATAAAGTAAAGTAAAGTAAAGTAAAGTAAAGTAAAGTAAAGTAAAGTAAACTAAAGCTATCCCTGTACCAGGCCGTGAAGGCCCATAGGGTTGTGAGACGTTGAGGGTCCCACACTACGTGCTNAGTGACTATAGATGGGGTTTGAATTGATGATTCTATTTATTGGACTCTTTGATACAGCGCTTGACTGTGCATTACAGTTCACTATTAAACACTCTGGCAGTCTTCTAACTAACTGCCTGCTCTTCAAGTCAAAATTAGTTACTTCATGACTGGTGGTTTACTGCCAATCAGTTCATCTTCACGCCAAGTTCTTTGAAGTTTATGAACTCTTACTGTCATAATCCTTATATAACATCCTCTCTGATGAGAAAATGGGTTTGTCTCTTACGAATATGCTTGGCCTTTTGTCAAGTGTATGGATCACACACATAGCATGTTATTGAGTCAAGTCAAAGTCAAAGTCACATTGCGACTGACGGTCCGTCAGTCTGTCTGTCTTGGTGTCAAGCCCCCGCTGGGTCTCATGACCAGATGTTACTTTTTAAATGAAAGTTACTGTTCTGTCCATTTGGGGCACCCTTTCTGACTAGAGGTCGGGTCTGTCATTTGTCAGTCATAGTCGATAGTATTAATCCTTTGCCACTATGCACACTTACTTGTATTTACAATTGAGTCATAATATATAGTATGTATAATATATACAAGGCATCTGTCAGTCTAGGCTCAGTACAGCAGTCTATTCCCTACTTCTAGTAGTATTTGATACCACGGCAGTCTAATCACTTGAACAGTTGTTTGCCTGACTGCCACCAAGTTTAAGCCTCTTATACTTTCTGTATCGGGCTTCGCCTTGTCTGATATTGCGAACATTTTATTTTCATGATTTCGTATGACTTCTGCTTGTTGCCTGCTTGTTATTGAGACTCAACTCAACTCATTATATAGCCGTGGCACTGACTGCACAGGAAACACTGTTCCTCTCTTTCAGCGCCATTGTTGCTAAGCGGTGGAATGATGTATTTCATTGTAGTGTGTGCATCCATCAGCACAGACTGTAGAAAACACCATTCCTCTGTTGTTATGGGCTGCTGCCTAGTAATAGCCAACTGCTGTGACTTCACAATTCTTGCTTTGAGCGAATATGCAACATTATATATATATTAATAGTTGTGTATTTTTGTTTCAGGGCTGTATTCAAGTTTGAAGGTACACATATTGTCTGCTCTGCAAAGGGTACACAGTTTGAGAAATTCCGTGAACAGTTTGCTGATGATGAGAGAGCCTTTGGGTACATCAGACTTCAGGTAATGTGTTGTTGGAATGTAATGGGAAGTTGGGATTGATAAATTTCTCTCTGAGGCAAGATGCATCAGATATAACCAGTTAGGATAGTAATATATCTTTAACACATCACTGTGTGATGTGTTAAAGATCACAGTTAAAGATCGCACAGTGATGTTAACACATCACTGTGGGATTACTGATTTCAAAATGTGGGAAAAAGTACTTATGAAATTTTTTTGGAAATTTAATAATAGTCGACCACGCCACAAATGGAAATCATCATGAATAAATCCAACAATGAGAAGTACTCTTGAGCATATAGCTTTTAAGTGAATGGACAATGACCACAATAGAAATAACATCAAGATGTTAATTAATTTTAATTCCAAGCTTGATTCATTTTAATTAGGACATATTGCATTCACACACAACATGTAGTTAGTTAGTTAGTTAGTTATTTAGAGAGGGTGGGTTTCCCCATGCACCGCGACCAGTTTGATCTATTGTGCTTCCCTCTATGATATTCTACCAGTCTCTATACCCTACTGATAAATGGTGCGTACCATCAGTCCCGCCGAGCAAGCGAGTTCGGCCACTTGCTTAGCGGTGTCTATAATGCTTCCCCCATCTATCAGAGGCCTTAGAGACTATTGTTGGGTGGGAAACGTCCTGGAATTTGGCTCAGTGATCCCCTTTGGGGATATGAGGTTTTTTACGTGCCGTAAAGTTACGACATGGGACACACAGCTTAAAGTCTCTCCCGGAGGACTTGTTCCCTGAATTTTTCCGCCCTTAAAAATTCGATGACCTCCGCCGGGTATTTGAACCTGCATACTACGAGTCATGAGGTGGGAATGTTACCTCTAGACTACGGAGGCTGCTCACACAACATGTAACTTTGACATTCAGTTTTAACAAGATAGACAGCACCTGATGGTGGCCATGTATGGCTGCAACACGTAGTGAGGAAGAAGGGTGACTAGACAATAAGTTGCATTTATGATGGAAATGTGTGCACAAAAGGGAATATACAACTTAAATGTTGAGTGTTATAAATACATTTTGCCAGCTAGATTTAGATAACTGATTCAGAAATTGCTGTAGGGATGGATTTCTTTGAAGTATATTGTCCTTACTAATAGTTATCAAAAATATTCTAATTTTAACTGTTGTGAAACAGATGGGTGATGAGATGAGCAAGCGACAGAAGTTTCTTTTTCTGACCTGGGTGGGCCCATCAGTAGGCGTCATCAAGAGAGCCAAGATGAGCACNATATGTCTTTGGTTGATGAGTGCCAAGAGAGCAAAGAAGGGACGAGATTGTCAAAGCGTTAAAACACGCCAACGCCAGGGAACGGCTGGCATCATCCGGGCGTTAAAACACGCCCGCGCCAGTCAAAGAGTTAAGGAGGGAGCAATATGTCATATTTGCTGAGGGCATGAAGTGTGAAACCAAGCAACAGTGGAGTAACTAGAAAGCAGCGATCTCTACGTGGTCCATACAATAGCTACGTGATGTAACAATAGAATAACTTCTGGGAGAGGTATTTTCTCTGTGGCCTGTACTGATGATATATAATGAGCAGCAGCTGCGATTATGAGAGTCTTGAGACAGCAGTTAGAAGAAGAGATAGCTGTGAGACAGCAGCCAGTAAGATATGGACACTGAAACTGAGGAAGCTATGGCATTGGAAGCTGTTATGAGGGGACAACCAGTGAAGATACAGCATACTCATAAGTCTTTGTACATGCTCTAGTGAACTGCAGAGTGTGTGAATTAGTGCTACAGTTATTTGTAGTTAGGTTCTGTAAGTTCAACAAATCCAATTATCAATCCAAACCCCATATATAGTTTCCCAATCACAATAAAAAATAGATTTTAAAATAGGCAAGTTAAATATTTATTGCTTTTAAACATGATAAATAAGATTTAGTATATTAATAAGAAATTTACAGCTGGAGCACTGCTCTAAGAAAGACAGAACATCCATTTTCGGTTTTGTAAAAATTCTGCAGGCTATTTTACAAGTTTGTTTTTTTTTTTCCAGTGTCCATTTGTTATGTAATAAAACGTACGTGTATATCTGTGCTCTTACTGTGACTTGTGTCACACTTATCAAGTATTTTTATATGATTCAAATACCTTTTACACTGCTGCTTAATTGTGTTGTTGATTTCTTTTAAAGACACATGTTTCCTGAATTTTAAATGCATAATGGTAAGAAGTATTCCAAGGAGTAAAGTATAATTTCACCATTGATGAGTACCACATCTTATGTGACTGCAACTTTAATTAGCCAATTATCAGACTTAATGTCTTTCTCCCCATTCAGAAAATACTGATAAGAAACAGAACAACTCTTTGGCAAAATACTGATCACATATGAGTGTTCTGTTCCCTGTTCCCTGCACTAGGGAACAGTTTTAGCAGGATCTTTTCTCCAGCTATCCTGTTACATTGCCACATTCTAAACTCAACTCATAAGCTGAATGTTGTAGATTTGTGTGTTCTGACTGAGAACTTGTAATGTTTTTCCTCAGTACTTCAGAAAAAATTTATAATCAGGGCCCGGATTTTGATGACATGTCATCTTTTTTTCCTTTTATCCTATGCGATGCTCTTAAATATATAAATCTCAGATATGAGCTGCCGGTTACAGAAATGTGAATTTTATAGGTAATTTTGTGACATTTTTAGGTTTAAGGTCATTTTTTCATTTTTGGGGTAATATTTTGGTAAATTTATGGACTTTTAAGGGTATTTCTTGTCGTTTTTGGCCATTTTAGGGAATTTTTCTTCATATGGTTTCTGAAATGTGAACAACATGGAAGCGAAGTGTTCTTTCTATTCTCCTTTAGGTCATTTTTTTAATATTTCAGGTCATCAAAATCCGGGCTCTGTATATTACATTTTTGGGTCATATTTTAGGTCACTTTCCTGGATTTTTTCGGTCATTTTATAGGTGATTTTTTTAATATTTTCAGGTCATAATAATCCGGGCCCTGGTTATAATTATATACCATGACTGTCTCCTCCTCAATTCTTTGCTGTGCATGCTTCATTGATGTCTTTGTTTTACTCCATACTAAGTAACTTATTGATCTGATAAACTCCCCTAAAATAATATGTAAATCTGTGGAATCTAATTTTTACTTATTGCTTATTTAATGATGCTATGAGAAACTCAACTATAAAAAATACAACTTCACTGCAGCCCATTGTCAGGAAAAAGAAGCAGAAAATGTGATTTCATAAGAGGGCACCACAAATACAGTCTTTTCTAAATACCACAGAAGCCACTTTTGAACTTAAAAGTGATTGCTAGGGTACTGATCCTGCAGTTATCTTATTACATAACTTTGATCTACTCTTCTATTGTTTCTCCTGTTTTCTGTCACAGAATTTTGCTGTGGAGCTACAACTGGAAAACGTGAATGAATTTGAAATTGATCATTTCCGTGAGCAACTTCTGCGTGCTGGTGGAGCTAACTATGGGACTGGTTTGCGTGATGTTTAGCAGGTTCAGTAGTGTGTGACAAGTGAAGAAACACTTTAACATTCTTGTAACATTCTTGTACCAGTGAATCTGATTTACCAGCGGTGATCACACGTCTTGTTTAGGTTGTATGACATGAAATTATTTGTAATCTTCCTAAGTATTTTAGTGGCGGCACTAGTCCTGTAATGTTTAAGTGTAAATTAAGAAATGTGTCATATAATAATTTCAGCATTTTAATTTTTCCAATATGATATATAATTCGTTTATAGAGTGCTGATTTGCAGTTACAAGAGAGAAAGATCAAACTCCTGATAGTATGGAGAGTTACTGTCAATTTGAACAGCACAACATATGTGCAAGCAGGATAGGCTTAAAACAGACATAAAATATTTTATTTACATGAGTCTTCTTTCCCTTGGTAATTTCAGTTGTTATATAAAAAACTCTGTAGTAGCAGTCATGTCTCAATTTATGTCAATCAGAAAGAAATGCTTTGATTAAAAAAACAAACGTTAAAAGATATGGAACAAACTATAAAATTGCTCAGTATAAAATATATATATTTACAATTACAGAAATGTGGAAACCAGAATTCTAATTTTCGTTTTAAATAAACTGTCTGTATACAAGCTCACTTAAATTCGTGAAACCTAACAGAAAATATATCATGTAAACAGTATGTACACATTAACATTACAAAGAGATACCTAGAAATGATAATGTTAGATGGCAAGAGCAAACTTTAAGTTGTTAGTGAAATTATACTGAATATGTGAATAATCCCTCTGAATACAAACTGATGGAATGAATGTATGAATGAAATAGACTGTTTTAATTAAATTCTATCCATTAAAATAAAAACATGAGTATATTATTATTGAATCAAAACTTAAGACTTTCGTCCAAATCAGTAAACAATAATTACTTTCACTACCAACTTACAGCCCAGTGTAAGAAAATAGAAGCAGAAAATGTGACTTCATACAAGTGGCATCATTGGAAGATAGTATGCTCATATTGTATGGAAAGGAGGACTTGTCAAAGAAATCTAATCAGAGGCAGTTAACTTCTTGATTAGTACTGCAAATGTAACAAAATTAAAGAATTAAATTATATTTATCTTTTATGAATATTTAAATTGTAATCTTTTTGATATTGACTCAGTATGATATAATGATATTTCGAAGTTCTCTCAGAATTTGGACCAGATATATCAAGGGCAGATAACAATAGAGATATCCAGAACTGGTACCCTAAATAGGTAAGTAATCTCCTGTGAAAAGAACCAAGTTGGAGAAAGTAGACTGTGGCTGATCATCAGTTATACTTATACTTAAGCTAAATTCAACATACTATGGCTCATATAGTTGCTTCATTATCGTAGTTGTTACCTAACATGTTTCGGCTTCATTAAGCCACTAAAGGATGTCCTTTACTGTATACCTTAAAATTTTATTTCTTACATGGATATACAGTAATTGTGTTTCTGTATTCTGAAATCATATTTTAAAGTTTTTCAACACTGCTGAAATATACCTCTTGCTTAGTCATGTAATCAGTAGTTTTCTTAAGATAAAGAACATACTGCAACACTGAGGATGGCTTAATGAAGCTGAAACATGATGAGGAAAATATAGCTAATAAAGTGGCTATATCAGACTGAGTTATTTAATATATATATTACATTAGACAAACTAAGCACAATATTTAATATGGAATGCAATGGTAAGAATGAGTATGAGTATGAGAGGTGGGCCTTAAAATCTGGCCCTCACACCGCGACCTTCAATGATCTATTGTGCTTCCCCTTTGGATTAACCCTTTATTAATCCTACACTTTGAAAGAAATGTAGGACTTTATTTATGGGGGTGTCATAAAAGTCACTTGGTTCCATGAAGAACTGACCCAGGTGGTAAAATCTTAAGTAAGCTATAGTCTCATAATCACATAGGATATGTGTGATTGATTTGTCGTCTTGTAGGAACCTTTCACAGGTTGGGTCATCTGTCAGTCCCAGTTTGAAAAGGTGCCCTTTTAGGTGGCAGTGTCCAGTAAGTAATGCTGCCACCCATCTTAATTGATCTCTGTTTAATTTCAATAGGTCCCTTGTTCTTTTGGCAGAGGGTGCTGATATAAATTCTTTTGTCTGAGTACAGTTGTGGATTCCCAGTGTTTCTTGTGATTTCTGTTAGTCCAGTCCCTGATTGTTTTCTTGGCAACTCCAATTGAGATGACACAAGCCGGTTCAGGTCCTATGAAAGGTTGTTCAGATCCTGTTCTTGCCAGTTGATCTGCGGTTTCATTCCCAGCTATACCCTCGTGGCCTGGCAGCCATACCAGATGAGCCCTGTTATGTCTGGCCAGTTGTGTGAGGGATTGGTGGCAGTCCCAGACCAATTTTGAAGTTATGTGGTATGTACCAAGTGCTTTAATTGCAGCTTGACTATCTGATAGAATATAGATGTTCCTATTTTTATAGTTTCTATCTAAATTCTTAACTGTGCATGCCTTAATGGCATACACTCCTGCCGGGAATACTGTTGTATTCTGACCAAGGCCAAAACTATGTTTCTGCCCTGTTCCATCACAATACACGCCAGCTCAAGTGCATTTCTTTGTCTTGGAACCATCTGCATACCAGATTAATCCCCCCTTTCTATCAGGTTGAAACCCCTCTTTCCATTCATTTCTATAAGGAAATCTGATTATGAAGGGTTTATCATAGACATGTTTCGGTATCATTTTATCAGACCCTATCTCTAGGATGGGTTCTTTTTTCATGTCCTTAATCATGTATGTATGTCCAAAACCTTCGGATTTAGGTCTCCAATGGATCATCACAATGTAATCTGTAAGTTCCTAACTTGGCCTCTGCTTCCATCTGCAGATGCAGTGGGGGAGTCCTACTAGGATATCCATTGCAGCTGTTGGAGCTGTTCTCATTGCTCCCATAATTCCCAAGCAGGCTGTCCTTCGCTGTTTGCTAAGTTCTGCCTGACTTGTTTACTGCAGCAATGTATATCCTATACACCAACCTTGGTTTTAGTCCCCAGGTTTTTCCAAAACATGCCTCTGCATATCCAGAAGACCTTATAGGCCTTGTTAACAGCCTTGTACAACTGTTTTTTCCATGTCAGATCCTTGTCTAATGTTATTCCAAGATACTTGACTTCACTGGATAGCCGGGTCACTTTACTGAAGAGGATTGGTTCCTTAAGCCCCTTGATATCTCTCCTCCTAGTAAAGGGTATAATTACCATCTTGTTTGAAATGACAGACAAGTTTGTTCTTTCGCACCACTGTTGAACTGTGTACAGGGCTGTTTGTAAGGTCTCTGACACAGTGTAAGGGAATTTCCCATTGATTAGGATTGCGATATCATCAGCATATCCTATTGTGAAATGACCTTTGCTGTTGAGCTCCCAAAGAAGATCATCCACGACCAGGCTCCACGGCAGAGGGGAGAGAACACCTCCCTGCAGACATCCTCTCGCCGCAGATGCTCTCAGGGTCTCTCCAGACAATGTAGCACTTATATTCCTGCTTTCCAGCATAGCACAGATCCAGCTGCGTATTGCGGGCTCAATGCCATGCCTTTCAGCAGCCCATTTTATTGTGTCAAAAGAGGTTTTGTCAAAGGCTCCCTCTATGTCTAGGAATGCTCCAACGGCAATATCTTTCAGTTCGATAGCATCTTCTATGCATGTTACCACTTTATGCAGTGCGGTTTCAGTAGATTTTACCTATTTGGTAAGCATGTTGGTTTCGATGCAGAGAATGAATCTTCAATGCACTCTCCTAATGTGTCTACCTACTACTTTCTCCATCGTTTTCAAAAGAAAAGACAACAGGCTGATGGGATGATAAGCTTTAGCCTTGGTATAATCACGTTTCCTGGGCTTTGGTATAAATGTCACTTTGACTTGCCTCCAGGCCATAGGGATGAACCCATGCACCATGCAGGCTCTGAATATGCGGCATAGGGGTGGAACTAAATGTGGAACTAAATGTTCCACCCCTTGCTGCAGAAGTGCTGGTACAATTCGATCTGTTCCCACAGACTTAAATGATTTGAAGGTACCTAATGCCCATCTAATTTTCGGTTGATTGATTACCTGGCTGGCCAGGTTCCAGTTGCACCTGTTCATTATGTGTCCACATATGCACAGGTTCTGCTGGATGTGCCCATCACCTGGATCATCAATCAGCTTTGAATCAGGGAAGTGAAATCTGAACAGTTCTTTCAGTGTCCTTTTCTTAGTTTGGGTATACTTACCATCAGGTAGCTTGCTAGTACTGACCTTGTTGGTCACCCGTTTTGCCATGACCTTCATGAGTCTGACACTGCCTGGTGCATCATTGATCTCCTGGCAGTACCTCCTCCCTGAGGATCGTTTGTCTTTCCTTATTTGTTTATTGTAACAGGTGAGGGTTTCCTTGTAGGTGTCCCACAGCCCTGTTCTTTTTGCTATACTAAATAGTTTTCTTGTTTTAGCTCTTAGCCAACTCAGCTTGTTATTCCACCAAGGTGCATTTCTTGGTAAGCGAGTGGTCTTGGCTGGACAATTATGATAATAGGAGAAGATAATGGCCCATTGCAACTGGTCAACAGATCGATCTGTGTCCTTTATCATGCGTATACTTCGTGAAATAATCTCCAGATTCACCTTTAGGTTGTCCTTGTATGACTCCCAATTGGTTCTCCTGGGATTCCTAAAGGTAATTTGTTTTGTTGTTATGTTACATATTTGAAAGCATGTGTATCTGTGGTCCGATAGAAACGGCTTGCCAGATACATGCCAGTTACTTACCAGGTTTCCTATTTTATTTGTCCCTAGTGTCAAGTCAGTAACTGCCTTCCTATTGCAGACCATAAAGGTAGGTTTGTTACCATGGTTTAAAATATTCAGGTTCGAACTCATCAGAAATTCCATGAGGTTTTCTCCCCTTGGATTGGTGCCGGTGCTACCTCACAAGATGTGGTGTGCATTAACACCACACCCAATGAGGAGTTGCTTTTTCCTGCTAAAGCGGTAGTCTGTGATGTTCCTCATCTCCTTAGTTGGTTGTGGTTCATTTGAGTCATATGGAAGGTAGGCTGAAGCAGCAGTCAGCTCCATGCAACCTCCTCGATACATGTATGTTATCCTTACTGCTGTTGCATCCCTAGAACAGAGCTCCAGCAAAGGTAAGGCATTATATGATTTCTGATACAAACACAGGATCTTGCGTTATTACCAGGTGCAGCAGAGTAAACTGTTCCCCTTGTGTTGGTTAAAGTCCTTATTTGACCCTCATATAACCGAGGTTCCTTAATAAGTGCTACATCTGGCTTTCTCTCAGTCAGCTGCTGGCATAAAGTTGCTGTGGCTGTTCTGCTGTGGTGTAGGTTAATCTGAAGGAATTTAATTTTATGTGTGTACTGTGTGTGTGTGTGTGTGTGTATGAGTTTATGTGTGCGTATGTAACTTGTTAATCTTCCTTCTTATTCTCAGACTGGATTCCGTTCGAAGGGGTCCTCTGATCTGCTCTACTTTGGTCATCTGATAGAGTGGGTACATCATACCCCTCCCTCTCAGACCCCGATTTTGAGGATGCTGTGTCTAGCACAGTTTCCTTTTGGTGCTGAGCCTCAGGATCTTTCAGCACTTTAACAGTTCCCTGTGAGAGTCCTGTGAATATTTTGTAACCGGTCATCTGCATAATAGTGTAAGAGTCCCGGTCTATAAGTAAAATAAGCCTCTGACCTTTCGACTCAGATTGCTTATCGAGTACCCTCCAATTCTCAGTTTGAAGTCCTGGATTGAGGTCTGCAATGCATTTCAGCAGTTCTTCCTGATTCTGGGCAACTTTGTACCTA